AACTGACGTATTTTGAAAATGATTTGTTGTTTTTTTTTACAGTTTGTCGCTGTCATTTCTTTTCCTTTCGAGATTTCAGCCAGGTTAATTTATTTTCAAAATATTACATATGATCTTTTGAAATTTAAAACAAATGCCGGATAACGATCAACCACGAAAGGGTTAATACCTAAAATTGCTCGTACCTTAAATTAAACTCTCGTGAAAACCGAGGGAAACAAATTATAATACTGCAGCTTATTATCAGCTGAAAATACAATAGCTGTCAGAAAATAAAACATTTATTATTTTCTTTCCAAACAAGTAACGCTTTTTTGTTGGCAGAAAAAATACACCATTTCTTTTTGTAAAGAGTAGAAAAGATTACAAAACCGCCTTCTTAGCTTTTAAAAAATATGCTAATCAAATGCTAAATTTTATCTTCGATAACCCTAGCCTATATTTAGAAAACCACTTACTTAAAAAATACAGAAGAGGAAAAAAATCCCTATTAAAGGCTGGTTTAAGAATCTGAAGAATATCACGGCCGGTTACGGATTTACGTAACATTGAAACAAGTGCTAGAAATCGCAAAGCTGTTCTAAGTAATTTTTCTAAATTAAGCAAGAAGATAAAATATTCCGAAAGTACTTGTCTTTCTTTACAATATTCTTTACGATATTACTGATTGCTTTATTTAGTCAGATGTCTTTTGATTGATAAAGTTCCTCAGCTCTCATTCATTCCTGTTTCTGTCACAACCAACGGTCTCTTAAGTTACCGCTAGGGAAGCGAAACAGCTTTATAGCTGTAGACTGTAAGTGATGATATTACCGTATCCTGGGCTTTTCGTGCCGAATACAAAAATTTATATTATACTGTTTGCAGCGCGAGCGTGTTCCCTTGCCGTATTACAAATAAACCGATTAAAATGTGATATATAAGCATTATATTTAAAATCAAAGCTTTAAATGATTCCTTCTCCAAACGTTTTAACTGCCGTGGCCCTATTAATTATAAGACGCTGTTGAATCTTGGTCTTTTACTAATTTGTTCTCTCCGAAATATCATGAAAATTAACAAAATGGATTGTGAGTGTTGAATTGTAAATTCAACTGACTAATATTTCTAGAAAAGGTATAACCATGGAAGATTTAAGGCCGATTACCGGGTGGAATCGCTTTTAATACCTTAAAAAGTGGTCCGTCACAAATGATCTCAATTTCAACTTCTGTATTGATAGCGACTATAATATTTAATCCTTTTTCAGTAAATACAAGGTTCTTATATAGCTCAAAAAAGAGTTCTCTATAACGCATCTATCAGTCGGATCTATGAAATAACCGCTGAGAAATAAACCTTCTTCTGACTTCAAATTAGAAATCTTTTATCTTCAACAAATTTGCCCGTTCTTAATTAAAATGTTTGCCGCTTAACATGTATTTAATCGTTTCTTATTGCATATTCAGGAATCGCATCAACATAACCAGATGTATAGCTTTTTAATACCCTCAGGCAATTTTACTACAGTCATTATCACCCGGCGTTGACGTTAGTAACTTAGAAGGAAAAGTCATAGAATCAACCACAACACTCCAGACAATACACGGTATTCCTTAGGGGAGATTTTACAGACTGTACTTTTTTTCCTTTAATGACCATTTTCTGCATCATAAAAAGCAAAATCTCCTCATATTAACCTCAGTTTCAGTTTTATCCAATTAGGCCATGCACGTGATCGCTGCCTCGTTCTCAAGGATATACCACGCACTTTCATTCCCTTCCCCACCCCCAACTCTTACGTTCAAGGTTTTCAATCGCATGACGCACCACAGGGAGCCCACACAATCTGTTTGTGTAGCCGATTGTTATTTTATAGTAAATGTACTGGATATACCGTTTGCTTCACCTATAGCGATATATCGCTAACTATGTATATAACTCAATGATAACTAAACGTTGAATTACCTTGCCTGGGGTGTATAGTCGTCCTTTTGCCTCAAAAGCGGGTTTTTGAGCGATTTTGAATGAATTTGAGTTCGCCGTTGACTGTTCTATATGGAACAGTCAACGGCGAACTCAAATTCATTCAAAATCGCTCAAAAAACCCACTTTTGAGGCAAAAGGACGACTATACACCCCAGGCAAGGTAATTCAACGTTTAGTTATCATTGATTTATATACATAATTAGCGATACATCGCTATAGGTGAAGCAAACGGTATATCCAGTACATTTACTATAAAATAACAATCGGCTACACAAACAGATTGTGTGGGCCCCCTGTGGACGCACTTTCTCGTTTTCTCCCTTTTTAATTCTGCACATGCCTGCCAGAAAATCAAGCTTATCATAAACAATAAAAACAAATACTGAAAGAAATATTGAAAAGCCTGGTCTTGTATGCCATCAGCCAAAGAAAATTGCGCTATTCTAATTCAAAGAAAACCTTTATGGCTTGCAAAACCGAGTAACGACAATCAGACTTGAGTCAGTCAAGCCAGGTTAACACTTTCGTTCCGGGGTCCCAATTATTAACACAGAATCGAAACCCATGACATAAAACGAAACTGAATCTTACCTTGTCTTGAATAAGAACGAGGAAAGTATCTAAAACTAATCGCCTGCGGAAGAGACGAAGAAACCAAACACAAAAGAAGAATGTGAACGGTATTCATCAAACCCTAGCTGTGACTTCTGTGGCCTAACTTGGAACGACGTCGGTTTATCCCAGCCTGCGGTATTCTAAGATATCTTCAGCTCACTGAGCTGCTTGTTTTGCGTACCATGAAACGATCTGTCTTTAAATCGAACAGTCTGTACGTTCTTTAACTGTGAAAAAGGGTCGATCCTAAATGCCTTTTTGCGTGACAGTTTGAAATCTAATATAACTCTGACGTCTCGCAGAATAGGGGCGGGTGTCAAATAGCTCCCCTGTACAAATGCTGTCGGACAAAGTAAAAATCTCAAGCCAAAACCAACTGGTATAACATATTTCTTACTTCAGTAAACGGCAAAGACGAACAGCAAAATGTAGCTATTTTGCTGTCCTTTAATCAGTATAATTCACTTTCTAGAATTTTATACAAAAGTGAAATCCTATTGTAAAATTCCGAGAATGAAAGTAGTCCATCCCTTGCCGTATTTCCGGGAAAAATAAGGGCCCTTCAAAAATAATATATATAACTTGGATGCCACAGAGGCTTACCATACAAGAGTAAGCTGAGGTAGACGTACGGACCCCAAAGCTAACTGTAATAATCTCCCAAGTACAATATATATAGCTGTAGACTCGATATTTTTTATTGGATGCTGTAGTGTCATTTTGGGAACCTTGTTCTTTCTTATCTGTTTGTTAACATTTTCCAAACCAAGGCATAAATTGTTGAGCACAAATCAGTGAAGCTGAGCGTGGCCCGAAAAATCTCAACGACTGATAAAACTAAAAATAAAAGTTAGCGCGTGGAAGTAATGGGCGCAAGAAAGAATGGCGCGCGCGAGGGAGGGAGGGAGACACGCGCGCCCCTTTTTTCTTGCGCTTTATTTCAAGGCTAACAAAAGTCGGAGAGAAAAACAGAACAAATTAAGAAGCAGAGGGGACAAAAGTAATAGCTGAAAATCGTCTATGTCACCTCTGCCTTAACCGTTTTCAGATAGCGTTTTTTAAAATAAACTGTAGTGTTTTTCCGGATTTGGCCAGTCGCGAATAACTCCTGCCTTCTGTTATACACTTTCCTTCGACCGAGAAAGGAGAAGTACACCTCGCAATACTCTGATAATTATAAAAGAGGACTCTTATTCAAATCACCCTAGAGGAGACGGGATAGATTGCGTACCTCCTAAAATTGTTTTTTGTCTTAAGATCTTCATCTCGAATCTACGGCCTCCGATGCTTTACCTTTAGAATCAGTGACTGTAAAGATGACCTTACGCTGGGGGGAGCTTTTCATTCCGCTGTGCTTTACACAGTTAGGTTTGCAAAGAGACAGGCCGGCCGGGCTGAGGTGTCTGTCTAGACAGAGCTATGTGTCTATCAATTATGGCCTGTTTAATACGCGGGTTTATTTTTTAGGCTCGATTTCCAGCCGTTTGAGGAAGTCAGGTATGCAATCTGCTCACGGGTGCACAAAAATGGTCGGTAACATACGTTACGAGCAATCTCATTTTTTGAAGCCCTACTCGGTGTCTTAAACCAGTAAACACAAAGAACCAACCCTTAAACTTGTGGCTGTTTCTCCACTTGGGGAAAAGAAACTGACGATTACGATGACGATGATGACGACGATAATGATGAGATGAAACTCGTAAAGGATGAAACAACACCTTTTTTACTTAAAGTTATTGTAAAATTACATGCCTAGTGTGCAATACTTTATTAACCTTCAAGACATCGATTGATGTCACTTAAAACAATCCATTTATAAATAAGATTGAGCTGGAGCGGCGCCTGGACTGAAATACTATTTACATTCCGCAGATGGCTATTCAGAGTAAGTTTCACTCCTTACTTATTTTCGGCTTAAGTTTCTCAGTGTTAACCGCTCGAGCCAAATCTCCACGGTGGCTAACTCTAGCTTCATATTCCTGCGCGTATCTCCAGCCAGGCTGTGTAACGCGAAACGGGTAAGACTTCATTTGTATTAACGTACATTGATACTTTATTCATACCGAGACCAAAGAGACGACCGTGTAAGACGTATCTAATGGGTCTAGTGTTGCAGGTCACCGTACTCTCATAGAGGTACTGGCCAACTTGTCTTTTGGTCTTTTCAGGCCAGTTGAACAGTCTGTATAAATAGGAGTTTGTAGTATAGTGGCATAATTGTCAGGCCCCACGGTAGAGGAGGGGGTAACATGAAATCTGATATCTCTGGGACCAAGTGAACTGTTGGTAGACTAGGTAACCACAGGTGCCTTGAGAAATTATTTTGACTGTCCTTTGCGCGTGACCGCAGAGTTGACAGTTTTCGAATTCACCGTTGACCAAACATTATAATTTTCATCAGTTTCACTTCCGCTATATCACCCCTTCACGCACAGCACCTGCTTGAGTCTGTGAACAACATCTAAGAGGTCACTCTGCGCTGCCATGACGTCATCAATGTCCTTGTAAGCCATTGGTGTTTCGTCGATGACGCCAGCGTCCTTTCGACATTCCACGCCCTCTGTTGCACGCACGTGATCTTCAATTGAAAACATTTTCCTGGCTTTGGTTCGCGACATGGTCCTCCCAGCTCCGTGACTACAACTAAGGAGAAAATTACCACAAAAGAGAATGATTAAGCATTCAACCTCCTATTATAACGTTGGAAGGTAAAACTTTAACTGAGGTTGCAAATTAGTCGACCACAGACAAAGCGTATTCGCTGAAGTTGATTGACCAAGAATCGAATCTGAGGGTGGCGTTGGCGACGACAGCGACGATAATGATAATGGTGATGACGAAGATAATATGGATGAGGATGGCGATGATGATGATGATGATTTAAGAAGAAGGATATTAGTGCTATTACTTACGTTAAAAACTCACGGCGCGCGTTGCTTAGGATAAAAAGCCAAAATTCTGTCGTCCGTTAGACAACCGCCTACCTGTGAAATGAGTCAGGGTTTCCCTTGCCTCTGACGATGTAGGATCGTGCTCCCATGGACCCTGGTATAATGCCCAATTCACCATCACGAGCAGAAACCTTGTGGGAATAATAATAATCATCGTCATCATAATCATATAATAATTATAATATTAATATTAATAATATCACTGACATACTAAAACACAAAGCAAATACAGTGGAACCTCGATATAACGAACCTCTATATAACGAAGTGCTCCGTATAACGAACGATTTTCTTTACCCCAGTAATGGTAAAATATATGAAAAACAACCTCGATATAGCGAACAAATTTTGCCAGTTTCTTTGGCCCTTCGTTAAATCGAGGTTCCACTGTAGTATATATATTTTTTAACAAGGCGAGTCCTTGTGTTAAATGGACTAAACCATGCAGCAACAAGAAATGCAAGTACCCCGGTTCAAAAGGTCGAAAAAAGTAACTAAATGATATGTCTGAAATCATGGAGTAGTTGACATAATCGTGGTATTTGAAAATTTGAATTAACAAGAACCATAGCACAAGAACAAAAACACAAGCATAACCCAAAAAACTGAATGAATGCAGGCAGAAAATTCCTAACATGGTTCTTTTATTTTTTGGCCTGCTTTTGGCTTTCTTTGTTTCTTTTGTTTGTTTGTTTTGCTAACAAAAATTTTTTGTGAGCATTCACTGAACCAACAAAAAAGGACTTTTTGAGTATTTTGTAAAACACCAAATTTTAGTATCTTGTTACTTACTGCCCCTTTTCTTGTAAGAAACACTTCTTTTCCAAAATGCATCTCTAAATTCACATAGTTATGGTGGCAGTTAACAGCCTTGCTAAATGGGTCCACTTCAAATTGTGGAATACTGCTACAAGAGTGAGCTGCCTTCAGAACACTTGACATCATGATATCACGGTTTACACGGGCAAACTTCTGTGCCCACGTCACCGCAAACACATAATCCTCAAAATTCTTTGTGCCCTCTTTGAGGTAAGCCAGATCTTTATCAACCTATTGAACAAAAACAGAATAATCTTTGCAAATTAATGTTGTTGATAGTTTATCTACTATTCTATAGCATTTTTCCTTGGTTTTTATAGAACCAGAATGATGATGAAGTGAACCTAAAAACAGTGCCCTACAGGCTTTTGTCCGTAGGCTTTACGGTTATGGAGTTGCACATACAGTAAAGTACAGCTCAGAGCTAAGAGACCAATACAAACCAAACGCACTGTTCTTCTTAACATGTTCCAAAAAGCGCATTTCTAAAATGCACTTTGTTTGGTTATTTACTATCACACACTTTCCTCATAAGGCTTCTACAATTATTAACCCTGAAGGAGTGAAAAGTGTCAAGCCTTGATCAGCCTGAATGGTGAATAGCAACAAATTTCTTCTTATAAAATTTTTGCTCAATCGGTATGTATCGATAATGCATGGACAACAGTAGGTCAACATTACAAACCAACTAGTAAATGATCAAACACTTTTCTCCAGCATTAAGTTGGAGGAGCATGTATGACTATTTAAACAGTTCCCTTAACTTTGCAATCAAATGGCCAAACAGCAGCCAAAAGCAACCACAACCACAACTGAATACACACAACAATTTCGGCATTCATGTACCTTAGCTTGTTTGTCCAGTTTCATCATATCATTCTTGGCAAGTTCAACGTACACAGTTCCGATTCTGTTGCCAGGACCACGTGATCCAGAATGTAACATAAACCAAACTCTATCTTCTTCATCAAGACACGCCTACCAGGAAACAGAGATTACTGACAGGAGATGAATATAAGCTAATAAAGCCAATCCTTATCAGTAACGTAATTAAAGATGATTACTACTTGTCATTTCCTTGCGTTCATTATAAACTTGATATCAAAAACACTTCTGCTCATTTATTGAATAGACTAGACCCTTTCACGTTTTTTTTCCAACTTTAACATGGACAAGTTAGGGAAAATTCATCAACTCTGCCAGAAAGAGCACCTTTAAATTAGTAAAATTGCCAACTCTGAAAGTGATTTGTTGAAAAGTAAACAACATATAGCTCCTCAAAGTCGCAAAATTTTATAGACATTTGTATGGGGGGGGGGGGACACCGACAACCACCCCACTATACAAAAATCTGTTAATTTTCGCAACTTTGCGGAGCTATATCTTTGCTCACTTAAGACATATTGCCATCAAACTTGGCAATTTTACTAATACATTTTAAGGAAATCTTCCCTGTAGTGCCGATGGAATTTTCCCTTACTTCTCCAAGTCAAAAGTTGAAAAAACAGCGAAAGGGTCTATGCAGGTGTAAAATACCACACAACAGGTCAAAATTTCTGTAAAAAAAAATTGCCAAAGCAGGGACTGTAACAAAACCCATCATCAATAAAAGTAAAAGCACATCCCTACTCAAATTACCTCAATAAAGTGGTTTCCAGTGCCTAATGTTCCAAGATGATTCATGTTATTCTGTGCCTTGGCCATCGGTTGTCGACTACAGATGTATTCATACTCTTTCTTGAGTTTGTCCCACTCCTTTACGACGAACTGTGGAATGTCACTTGACTTCCATGCACCAACATCACCCTTGCGACCCTAAAAATAATAATTTTATTATTAACTTTGTCATCATCATCATCATCACCATTATTATCATCATGTTTGTTATTATTTTCATTTTTGCCCTGACCCATACATTTTTTTTATGATTCTTAGACTAATGGTTTAATAATGAGTGTTTCTTTCTATATACCGCTATCACCTATCATGATTAGTTGAGTGTACATGCTAGCTCCTACTAGTTCCATGACAATTAGATGGCAAATCAAACACTAAGTAAGAGACTTCGTTTTATAGAGAAAGACAGGTAATAGCGCATATCAGTGACCTGTGACCATCATTGTTCTTGTGACAGTTTGTTGAAGTCTTTGATTTATTGTTTTTTCTTCTTACTCACATTAAAAGATATATATTTTGTAACTTTTCTTGATATTTTCTGCAATAAATGATTTCACAGTATCATTTCCGGCACCAAAGGTTACAGACCTGATGGGTCCGCCCATGTGGTACNAAAATTTTAAAGACATTTGTATGGGGGGGGGGGGGACACCGACAACCACCCCACTATACAAAAATCTGTTAATTTTCGCAACTTTGCGGAGCTATATCTTTGCTCACTTAAGACATATTGCCATCAAACTTGGCAATTTTACTAATACATTTTAAGGAAATCTTCCCTGTAGTGCCGATGGAATTTTCCCTTACTTCTCCAAGTCAAAAGTTGAAAAAACAGCGAAAGGGTCTATGCAGGTGTAAAATACCACACAACAGGTCAAAATTTCTGTAAAAAAAAATTGCCAAAGCAGGGACTGTAACAAAACCCATCATCAATAAAAGTAAAAGCACATCCCTACTCAAATTACCTCAATAAAGTGGTTTCCAGTGCCTAATGTTCCAAGATGATTCATGTTATTCTGTGCCTTGGCCATCGGTTGTCGACTACAGATGTATTCATACTCTTTCTTGAGTTTGTCCCACTCCTTTACGACGAACTGTGGAATGTCACTTGACTTCCATGCACCAACATCACCCTTGCGACCCTAAAAATAATAATTTTATTATTAACTTTGTCATCATCATCATCATCACCATTATTATCATCATGTTTGTTATTATTTTCATTTTTGCCCTGACCCATACATTTTTTTTATGATTCTTAGACTAATGGTTTAATAATGAGTGTTTCTTTCTATATACCGCTATCACCTATCATGATTAGTTGAGTGTACATGCTAGCTCCTACTAGTTCCATGACAATTAGATGGCAAATCAAACACTAAGTAAGAGACTTCGTTTTATAGAGAAAGACAGGTAATAGCGCATATCAGTGACCTGTGACCATCATTGTTCTTGTGACAGTTTGTTGAAGTCTTTGATTTATTGTTTTTTCTTCTTACTCACATTAAAAGATATATATTTTGTAACTTTTCTTGATATTTTCTGCAATAAATGATTTCACAGTATCATTTCCGGCACCAAAGGTTACAGACCTGATGGGTCCGCCCATGTGGTACAGCCTGTTCAATAGCTGTACGAAGGTTCTTCAAGGAATCTGGCAGCTGATTTGCTGTTAGTGTTGTCCTTACTGCCATCATTCCACATCCAATGTCCTGTGTAATATATTGCAT